ACTTTGTGCTTTCGATAATCTTCGTTATCCCTGGAGCCTTCCTCTCGCAGATGAGCAACTTCCGCACAACCAAGGCACCATACTCCATCTTCTTTGTTCAAATTGCCTGTCACTATGCCGGTCATTTTATGGCTAGAGTCCTTCCTGATTGGAAGATTGGACTACCTGGTACACGCTTTTCTTTTAGCCTGAACCCGGCCCCATGGAGCATCAAGGAGCATGTCTTGGTCACACTGACTGCAGCTTCTGGGGCTACATATAACCTAGGATATGCTCCCATCGTCCTCGCTGAGCTTTGGTACGGTACACGAGTCAATCCGGCGGTTGCGATCTTCTTCATGCTTTCAATCGTATGGATTGGCTACTCCTTTGCTGCTCTTGCCCGACAAATCCTTTTGCCTGACCCGGAATACATCTGGCCCCAAGCTCTGATGCAAACGACATTGTTTGAAACTTTCCGCAAAACAGACAACTCATCGGCTCTCGCTCGGCGCCAGATGAAGGTGTTCTTCTTCGCGCTTCTAGGGATGACGATGTGGCAATTCCTTCCAGAGTATGTCTTCCCGTTTACCTCATCCCTGGCCTTCCTCTGCTGGGTGGCACCTCGCAATCCGGTGGCCAACTTCATTGGCTCAGGTATTGGTGGCATGGGCTTCCTCAATCTCTCGTTGGATTGGTCAAATGTGAACTGGAATGGTTCCTCAATTATGACGACCCCATACTGGACGCAGGTCATCTTGTTCTTGGCCTTTGCTTTCAATTGTTGGGTCCTACTTCCTGCAGCGAAGTGGGGGAATCTAGGTTCCTTCAAGCACGGGCTTATGTCAAACAGCCTTTTCCTAGGCAATGGTACAACCTACCCAGTCCTCGAAGTCTTAACCCCAGACTATCACCTGAACACGACCGCTTACGAGGGGTATGGGCCGATGTATATGGGGTTGCAAAACGTGTGGGCGACATTTTTTGACTACGCCAAACTTCCAGCAGCGGTCACTTGGATCTTGACATTTGGATACGCACAGGTTTCCGGGAATGTCCGAAGAATCTGGTTATCTCGCAAAGCAGAGAAATCCACGAAAAACGAAGGCATTCATCACCAGTATCATGACCGTCTCAACATTATCCAGAGACAGTACAAAGAGATTCCATGGTGGTGGTATGCTACCCTATTCTCGGTAGCCTTTGTCATTCTGATTATATTCCTCGCACTTGGCCACCTCTTCATCCCAATCTGGACCTTGTTTGTGGCACTTGCGAGTGCTGCAGTCCTGGTCATCCCGTTTGCTTGGCTTTACGCCATCTCTAATTACCAGCTTGAGACTGGCTCTTTCAACGAACTCATGTATGGCTACATGGTCCACACAAAAGCTGGCGAGGTCCACCAGCACCCCTGTGGTCCTTCTGTCTATGGATCTATTGCGGGTGACGCCTGGTATCGTGCGCAGTATATGCTCCAAGACCAAAAGATTGGTCACTACATGCACATTCCACCCCGCGCAGTTTTCTTTTCGCAGATTTTCGGCACTTGCATGGGTGTTCCAATCAACTATGCTGTCATTCGTTGGGTCATGGACACCAAAGGAGATTACCTGACAGGCAAAAAAACGGATCCACTAAATCAATGGACAGGACAGTCCCTGCGGACTTCGAACACCATGGGTGTACAGTATGCAGTGCTTGGTCCACGGAGGCTGTTCGCTGAGACAGAAATGGCCGTGCTTCCGTGGTCATTCCTTGTCGGAGCAGTAATTCCTCCTATCCTCTTCTGTTTCCACCGGTTCTTCCCCCGGCTTCGAATTGATTTGTGGAACGTCAGTATCTTTTTTGGAGGACTGGCGATGTTCTATGGTAACATCAGTACTGGTTATACATCTGCCATTATTGGTGGATATGTTGTAATGTATTGGGCCTACCGTCGTCATTTTGAGGTCTGGAAGCGGTACAATTACCTTCTTGCTGCTGCGTTTGATGCTGGATTCAATCTCAACATGTTGCTCGTCTTCTTCTTTTTGGAGCAGGCAAGCAAATTTCAATGCCAAAATGGTGGGGCAATAACGAAACATCTGTGGAAAGATGCTTCGCTCTCGACAGCTGATTTGCCCTTCTTATTTTCTAGTATGAGCAATAGCTGATATCATGAGTTCTAATATGTCATTTGCCTCTTTAGTGCAGATAAAAGAAGTGCCCAAGTACGTTGTAATATCATTGATGGTTAGGGGTAATTACTTGCCTATATAAATAGGGGATTATTAATTTGACAGTCCCTTTTCAGTTGGTACTTGTCCTTGATGCCTCAGGGCAAGATTTGTCACGGGGTTTGATCACCCACAACAGCCAATCAGACGACGGGGTCTCGTCCTTACAGGTTGTTTTGGTTCGAGGGGACCTTACTTTGCAGACCGTCTTTTAAATTCCCCTTGCCCCCTTTCCACCAACCATTCTTCTTACAATTCTCTATCCACTCCGAATAAATCTCATTATGACTGACCAGGCGACCATTTCCAACACCAACGAGGAAGCCTTCGCCAAGGGCAAGGGCAAGGCTGACCCCACGCAAGATATGAGCATGGATGAGGAGAGCGAGTCGGAGAGCGAAAACGAGATTGTGAGTCTGCAATTTCCACGCCCAACTACATACTTTTATGCTGACTTGCTTGCGTGTTACTAGGCCGACAATGGTGTGTACCCCCACTATCCCCCAAGCAACCCATGTCTAAATGGACATATGCGCCATAAGGACCATCAATTGCCTCCATACTGACCATTTCTGTTCCCAGACGAGGATGATGACACACAAGACAATCTCAACGACCCCATCGACCAAAACAACATCATCCAGGGTGGCCGACGCACACGCGGCAAGGTCATTGACTACTCCAAGATCTCCACCGATGAGATGGAGGATGACGAGGATGATGATGAGGAATACGAGAGCCGCGAGGACAACCAAACCAACGATGATGATCAGATGCGCGACTAAGCTCGATGAATTAAAAAAAACTACCGGGTGGCATGGAATTGCTTTGAACGATAGGCGCCACGGATCGGTCCACGATGTTTTTTTTCTCGCGCGTGTCTATAACATGTCACGCGACTCTGTGATGACAATGAATCAATGAATATCTCTTCGGATTTCTGTTTCCAACCCTGTTAATATACACTTTGTCCGTTGATTATGGGTTGGCCGATGTTCGGCCTATCATGATGTAATTTGTAGACAAAATGGATATCTCCAGGGATATAACTTGGAATGAGCAATGATTTGCCCATTGGATTCCATCATTAAATGACCAAATTGACAGGAAACAACGTCCCACGCGAACCATCACTCCTTATCCCGCGTGTCGATTTCCAGTACTTGGGCTATCACGTGCCGTTCGGCGAATGACAACCTTGGAACGCTATGGCCACCTTGATGTTTTTATCTCCGCAAGCATCGAGGACACGAATAGTAATCGCCCTGGATTTTGACACTTGCGAAATGCTTGATCACCGTTGAACAACTTCTCGATCTGCAATTTATGTTTCTCCTCTTCCTCCGCCACAAAATCTAGCTACATTCCACAACCGTCATGGCTTCACGGTATAGTTCCACCGTTAATCTCTCGGTCTATTATGGGGTGTCCTTCAGTTAGCTAATGCAGCAGTAATCCAAATAGATTTCCGCGTCAGCGTGACCCCCGTGCCTCTTCGTCTCTCTTCGATCAATACGGTGACGACTCCCGCCAAGCCAGCAGATCTCCTGCCCAACAGCCAGGTGGATACGGGTACGGAGGTTACCCCAGTCCAGCACCTAATGGTTACGCGAGTAGCGGTGCAGCTGGACCGGGATATCAGAGTGCCTCGCCGGACAAAAAGTGCGTTGAGTGGTTCATGATTTGAGATAGCCTACCGTTCCCTCGAGGATGTATAGTTACTAACCCACTTTGCTATAGGGGACATTACTCCGATGCAGTTCTCTCATCTCTCGAGTCACAAAATGATGCTGAAGTCGAGGGTATCAGTGCCAAGGTCAAAATGCTGAAGGATGTAAGAAGCCTCGCACCGAAACATCCAGATCCAACGAAAGCAAGTGGTCGTTTGAAATGCCAACCCGCTGACAAAAAAACATCTAGATTACAATTGCTATTGGCGATGAAATCCGAGACACCACACACATGACTGACCTCAATGATTCATTTGATAACACTCGAGTTCGACTCCGCGGGAATATGAAACGGATGCTTCGCATGGCCGAGAGCACCGGCGTCGGCTGGCGAGTCTGGCTCGGCTTCTTTTTCGCCGTATTCCTCCTGTTCTTCTATGTGTGGATATTTTGAACGTATACCCTTCCCCTCTCTCTGAAGAGGTGCACCCGCACTTGCACTCGCGCTCTATACCATGTCGACCGCGCCCGTCCTTCTCGTTTTTATCACCTTTATCTCTCGTCTTCACGCAAAACCCAGCGACTTGTTATTTTACTTGATCTCATATGGATCGAGTCACGCACATGACTTATCAGTATCGTCAGCATAGGAATATTGGATTTGGCGCTATGAGGTGTTCTGGGACTATGGATTCGACTCTTTGAGCTATGTATATGCAAATCCCTGCCATCGGATCAGATGTCGGCCACGTCCCGCTTTCTAGGTCGACACGTTCGGGACCTGCCTGGTATCTATCTCGGAGACAATTCAGGCCAGTTGTCCAATGTGATTCGATGGTTAGGTTATTTCTGGCTTTGATATTGGAATATGTTTTAAGTAAACCGTACATAATACACATAATGCACATAAAACAATATCCAGGGACTGCCCTAGCAAAAGAAACCATTTACAGGCTGAGCTTTATATTCGGGGACTGTCGAGGTTTACTTCAAAACCCGTTTGAAGTCATGTCCATTGAATCTGCTCATAGAACATCTTATCTCATAAGGAGGTGTCATAAGCTGCCATTAAAACTCCGAGGCAAAAACCCCCGAGATCTATCTTTTTCATACTAACATCATTTGGATAGCCTCTCTAGTTCAGACTGTCCCTGGGCCCACCGATGTGCCGCGGGAACCTTCTCGCAAACCCGCTTCGTCGACTGCCCTGACTGGTTATGGATGCGCGCAGGTCATCGTCACTGTAAAGCATGCTGCTAGAATCCAACGCATCGCCACCACCACTCCAGCGATTGAGGAAACGGCGCTGGGCTTCAGTCTCGGGCTCGCGGGGCAGAGTCGGAGGTGGAGGCAAGCCACGACTGTTGGGCGTACTGGTGCGGAAATTCTCGGCAAATCTGGTTTGAATGATACTAGGTTCGTTTTCCTCTTCATCACTCAGCTCTTCTTCGCTGTCTGTGTGTTGCCATTCTCCTTCTTGCTCCGAGCCTTGCTCTGCAGCATCAGGGATATCATCGTCGAGGTCACGCGTCATGCCTTCACTCACACTCTCACCGTCGGCAGCAGGTATCTCTGCATCCAGATCAGGCTGGTTGTCGAAATCGTCGTCCTCGTCATCATACAGGCCTGAGCCCTCATAGTCATCATCGGGGAACCCCTCAGGGATGGCATCATCCAAGTCGCGCTCCATATATTCTCCTTCGTCACCAATTTCATCTTCCTCGAGCCCTTCTTCTCCTTCCTCGATAAGACCCGAGGCCTCCTCCTCCGCGTTGGGGATATCATCATCTAAATCACGTTCCATGCCTTCATCCTCTTCTACTTCCTCTCTCTGCATGCCCATATCATCATCCATGATTCCTTCTCCCTCTGCAGCTTCCATCTCAGCTGCTGCTGCCTGTAGCGCCTCTTCGCGCTCCGCTTCCTCCTCTTTCATACCGAGCATTGTTTTCGCACATCCCGCCGGCCTGATCCATGAGTATCCAAATGACGCAATGTTCAATTTTCGAGCGCGTAGCGAGCGTTCTTCTGCGGCTAGTGTGGCGATTGTGTTGGCAGAAGAGCGGGATGGCATGAATGAGCGATGACTGCTGGGCGTGCCGTTGGCATTACGCCGAGCGAGGTGGTTTGCGGCATTGTCGCCTTGTTGATCGGAGGTAGAGCGATATGGTTGGGAAGATCCGAACCAAAGTTCGTGGGACTATCGAGGTGTTAGTTTCCTGTTCAAGAAGCTTTGGATCGGCACAGCCTGACACTTACGTCGCGTGGTGTAATGGATGAAAGGGTGAGCATCGCTGCAATTATTTTAATATCGGACTCGGGAATGCTCTTGGGTACCTCCGAGATTTCTGTTTATCTTTGTGATCTGCGGCAGGAGATACGCGCTTTGTCACTGTGCTCGTAGCAGTTGATGCGAGTGAAGGGGGGTAGGACTTCACGCGTGTGGACTTAAAAAAAGATAGAAACAAGAGATGTTAATACTCCGTATGTTGTATATGACATATAATCAAAGGTCTAAGAAAGTGAACGCAGAAAGGCCGGGAGCTCCACAGCCAATCAATTCATGTGGGGAATTCCAATATACTCAGTTTACTAAGCTTTGATCATTGTATAGAAAATTGAGATTATATATTCCACCTTTTAATGGAAGACATAGCTCCAAATAGCATATATAGATCTAAGCAGCCTTTTATGAACTATGGCTTCGGTTCCAAAATTAACATTGCTTTCGCCTAGTTCAGGGTCTTTCATGAATCCAGGTCCTTGGCTACAGGCACTGCATATGTACTCCATGTGCAATGCATGAATTTACCATGCACAGACTTGGACCTCACTCTTCGGTATTGGGAGGTCTCGGCCAAATGACTGAGACCCTACGGAGTAGAAATTCAAGACCTGATAGGAAGTAAGATGATCTTATTTCCAGAGAAATTTCGAGGCTTTCAAAAAGATCTGAGAAGTGGGATATAATATAGAAGAATCCAACATGAATAATAAGTCTTGAATCTGATATATTTGCCCGGAATCACCCGATGACCGGTGTCTAATCCGGTCTCAAGTGGACGGAAAAATCCGGAATCCAAATGACGTGTCTTACTTTCATCTTGGCTTTCATTGGAGAAAAGGTGGAGATCATGTGATATCCACTTGTATAACCTTGGGCTCTGGACATACTGTGTATATAAACATCGAATACTCCTGTTTCACCCGATATACTGTAATGGGCTGACATATTATGTGTAGAGGACAAGAAAGAGTTATGTATTCTTATTATCATCTACCTTATCTCTGATATTCATGTGTCGGATCACTTTCCTCCGGACTTTGTCTACCTGGGGTAAAGCATAGAATGTACAAAACATGGGGAAACATGCAATTCCATATCCATTTCGATGAGAAGTTGAATCTCCCACAGTCTGGTACTGAGTCAAAAAAGAGGATGGAAACGATAACCTCAAAAGTAGGGGGAAATGGTGCAAACGGGTAACCCCGAGATCGGGCTATGCTCATTGGCAAGAGATGAGAGGGGAAACCCGGGGGACTTGGCCGTTGTCGGAATGTGTGTACTCCGTACAGGTATTTATGCGTTTATGTATTGGGAAAGGAATGTTCCAACAATTTTACTATCCTTTTTATCTTTCTTTTTCTGGATAATATTTCATAGGTACTTTTGAAGTTTTAGTACTTTTTTTTTTCACCTGCAGAGGTAAGCAAACTAAATGCAATCGAAAATCAAATTAAGCACTGCATCTTTGCCCCACAAGGTGCGCCCATTTAGGTAACATGTGAGGATTGCCTCATTTCTGTATGGGAGGACATTTTTGTACATATATTGGAGGATCTTTTTTTTTATGGGGCTTACGGGCCTATGGGGCCGCCCGGCCCACTGTTGTACCTTGTTTTGAGCTTTAGGGAAAGAGAAAGAGAAAGAAAGGAGAATGGATAAGTAAATCGTATATATGTACCTAGGTAAAATGCTATGGAGTAAGATATAATGGACTATATATAAGTTATATAAGTTATATAACCTTGGAAGTTAATTGACGTAGTAAAGAGCTAACCCTGGATTGTAAACGCATCACTCTGATTGGTTGAGTGATGCTTATCTTGGGATGATTTGCACTCCGTAATCATAATGGTTATCATTACTTTCTACTTTCTGGCATGGCTGTTTGCGTCAAGTAAAAGATTCATGTTTTCATGTTTTCATGCTTTCATTGTTTTATGTGTAGCAATAACATAGTATAGTATGTATAGGTAGCATTTGCTATGCATGCATCTTCATATTTCTTTCAACCTCCCCTTACCGTTCTTGGCTTGTCTGGTTTGCCACGGCTCCCCACCATTGTAATTTTCCCTTTGCCTTTACAATCGGGGCTTGCAATCCCCGGACCTGCTGTCCCGCCGTAATCGCCCTCTTTTTTTCCCCCCCTCCTTTTATTCTCTTCTACCCTTTCCCCCCTTCTTGTATCTTCAACTATTTCGCTGGGTGATCATTGACACCTTTGTTCCCTCACCCGCGCTACACCCTGTGACGACATCGCTCAATCCCCAAATCGGTGGGGACTTCCTAGAAACAATCCCCTTCAGTTACCATTCCATTCTCTGTCGGCCCCCGGCGGAAGAATGGGTCTTAACTTGGAGGAGCTCTATGGCAAAGATATAAGTGAAGAACAGGCTCCTCATGAGTATTCTCAGTATCAACCCAAAAAGGGTTATGGCTGGGCCAATGCTCTACCAGAGCGGCAAGGTCTGTACGACCCTGAATATGAGAAGGATGCCTGTGGTGTAGGCTTTGCAGCGTGAGTGAATCCCCAATTGGAGCTTATGAGGACTGGGAATCTGACAGAATCAGTCACATCAAGGGCAAGCCAAGCCATAAGATTGTTAGCGATGGTGAGTCCCAGTTTTCGGTTTGAACTCAAACATCATAACAACTGAAGCTGATAGCAATTGAACAGCCCGCAACCTATTGTGCAACATGACCCACCGAGGAGCCGTGGGCTCTGATGCACGGGACGGTGACGGTGCTGGTGTGATGACCAGTATTCCACACAAGTTCTTCATTAAGAACTTTGCCCGCGAGGTGGGTGTGGATCTCCCCCGTTGGGACAATATGCTGTCGGCAACTTGTTCTTCAAGCCCGATGGGGAGGCCCTCAAGCAGTCCATAGCAAGTTTTGAGGAACTGGCCATGACACTTGGCTTGCGTGTTCTTGGATGGCGTGAAGTGCCACGGGATTCAACGATTCTTGGTCCCGCCGCATTATCTCGAGAGCCCATCATTATGCAGCCATTTGTGGTCTTGAAATCAGCATATGGTGAAGGCAACAAGCCGGAGATCACTGACACTGAAAAGTTCGATGAGAGAACCTTTGAGCTTCAGCTGTATGTTCTACGGAAACGTGCCACTCATGTCATCGGCCTCGGAAACTGGTTCTATCTCTGCTCTCTCAGCAACCGGAACATCGTCTACAAGGGTCAACTCTCTCCCGTTCAAGTGTACACGTACTACCACGATTTAGTGAACGTAGACTACGAGGGCCACTTTGCCCTGGTGCACTCTCGATTCTCTACAAACACATTCCCATCCTGGGATCGTGCCCAACCCCTACGATGGGCTGCCCATAACGGTGAAATCAACACCTTGCGAGGAAATAAAAACTGGATGCGCGCGCGAGAGGGCGTCCTGCGGTCAGAGGTCTTCGGTGACGAGCTCGATAAGCTTTACCCTATTGTCGAGGATGGTGGCTCCGACTCGGCTGCGTTTGATAACGTGCTTGAACTACTCATGATCAACGGCGTTCTGTCTCTTCCCGAGGCAGTGATGATTATGATTCCGGAGGCCTGGCAGGACAACCCAGCCATGGATCCAGCCAAGTCCGCTTTCTACGAGTGGGCTGCCTGCCAGATGGAACCGTGGGATGGCCCAGCTCTTTTCACCTTCTCCGATGGCCGCTACTGCGGTGCTAATCTTGACCGTAACGGTCTCCGTCCCTGCCGTTTCTACGTAATGGACGATGATCGCATCGTCTGTGCTTCCGAGGTCGGCGCTATTGATATTGATCCCGAGAGGGTCGTTCAAAAGGGCCGCTTGCAGCCTGGAAAGATGCTGCTAGTTGATACTGTGGCTGGTCGGATCATTGATGACGCTGAGCTCAAGCAGACTGTTGCCCGCCGCCAGGACTTTGCCGGCTGGTTGGACAAGGGGCTTCTGAAGCTCCCTGCTATCAACCAGACGCTACTTGACTCCAACGTTGATCTTTCTTTTGCCTTGGATAGCAATACAATTCAGAACGACCCTCGCCTCCGAGCATTCGGGTACTCCTTTGAACAAGTCAGCTTGATTCTGGGCCCTATGGCCGCAGACTCCAAGGAAGCTTTGGGCTCTATGGGTAACGATGCACCTCTTGCCTGTATTGCTCAACAGCCTCGTCTCCTCTACGAGTACTTCCGCCAGCTCTTTGCCCAGGTCACCAACCCTCCCATTGACCCTATCAGAGAGGCTGTGGTTATGTCCCTCGAATGTTACGTCGGTCCTCAGGGAAACCTGCTGGAAATGGACCCCTCGCAATGTCACCGTCTGCGTCTGCCCTCTCCCATCCTGAGCATCCCCGAATTCAATGCTTTGAAGAATGTCAACATAGTCCACAAGGATTGGACCGTGCGAACCATCGATATCACATTCGAGAAGAGCAAGGGTACTGCCGGTTATATTGAAGCACTCGATTCCATTTGCGACGGTGCCACTGAAGCTATCCAGAATGGCGACAAGGTCATCATTCTCTCCGACCGTGCAACATCCGCCGACCGCGTGGCTGTCTCTGCCTTGTTGGCTACCGGTCTGGTGCACCACCATCTCGTCCGAAACAAGTGGAGATCGCTTGCCGCCCTAGCAGTTGAAACTGCCGAGGCTCGCGAGGTCCACCACCACTGTGTTCTGCTGGGATATGGTGCCGATGCAATCAACCCTTACCTGGCTCTAGAATGTATTCTCAAGATGAACCGGGAAAAGTTGATCCGCAAGGATATTCCCGATGAGAAGGTGATTGAGAACTACAAGTCCTCTTGTGATGGTGGTATCCTCAAGGTCATGAGTAAGATGGGTATCTCTACTCTCCAGTCCTACAAGGGTGCCCAGATTTTCGAAGCCCTTGGTATTGACGACAGCGTGATTGATCGCTGCTTCTCTGGTACTGCCAGTCGCATCCGTGGTATCACATTTGATCTGATTGCCCAGGATGCTTTCGCCTTCCACGAACGCGGTTACCCTTCTCGTCCGATTGTCGAAGT